AGAGAGAGAGAGAGAGAGAGAGAGAGAGAGAGAGAGAGAGAGAGAGAAAGAGGGGATAGGTAGAGAAACCTCTCTGTAAAACTATTCATGAAACTTGATTTGAACATCTGTCCTCACTTCCACTAATAAGCATCCTTCAAGCAAGCAGAGGCATGCAGGATCACTCCCACCGGCCTCTGAGCTTCACCCCAGATTTGCATCTTTGTTCACAAACAACTCTGACCTCCTCTAGATCTTTGCCATCCTTACTCATGAATAGAGCCATGGAAGTTTAGAGAGAAGAATCGCCCTTCTGGTATATTGGTTCTCAGTCTCCTTTCTGTCTATAATGCCCAGACGATAATGCTGACAATAACCAAACAATGGTTTTCTGCTGGCTGCTGCATGGACAAGATAGTATGTGACTAAAAACTAGTTCCTGGCCTAGTTAGCCCTGGAAAACACCCCAGCATGCCTTGACATTAGGGGTGAAAACTTCTGTTTTACTCATGTTCTTTTCTTGGGTCCTTCTGCCTCTGTCCTATCAAACATACCAAACAAGCTTCAATAGAGAGAAAAGAAGATGCAAAAACTTTAGCCAGTGTCTTTCAAATCCCAATACCTAAAAGACAGACAGATTCAATGGCAGCCTCTGAGGCAGCGTGATGAGTCATGAAAACAAACATGACACGTTAAATGCACACCGACTCAGCAATGTAAATATGAAGGTACAGGAGTCTTTGGTATGGAAACATGGTAATACCATAGGGAGATGGAAACAGGGCAGGCAATCTCACCCTAATGTCTTAGGGTGTGACACATGGGGGCGGGGATGGTAGGCAGCATGTATTTAAGCTGAGGATGCTGACTGGAACCTCAGAGATGCTTCCCCTCATCCGACAGATGTCATCTCTTCCTCCCTTGCTTTTGCCCAGCACTGCCGGCAAGCAGAGCCGCTGAGCAGAAACCATTTCATTCGTTCATTCACGCAGTGTTTACTATACACCCAGTATGTGGTGGACTCATGCTGGCATTTGGGGGCTCAGAGATAAAAGATGCAAACCCTTCCCCTGAAGGTGCACAGCTTAGTAGGGACAGTCAAACAGGTAAATAATGATTGGCAAGCTAATTC